TTTCTCCTCATCACCGCATTCATCAGTAATTCGTTCGCCGAATGGTAACCAGCATTGTCATCGCCACCATCATCATCTTCATGGTCGTCGTCGCCGTCATCAGCATCATCCTCATCATCAGCATCCCCATCGCCGCCATTATCATATTGTTCGAATTTGCATTCCCAGCATTTTCGTTCATCGTCCCCGTCATTATGATCATTGCCATCACCACCACTGCCACCATCATCATCATCATCATCATCATCATCATCATCAGCAGCAGCAGCAGCATCATCCTCGTCATTGTCGTCGTCGACATCACCTTCAACAGCAACATCATCATCATCAGCATCATCACCAGCATCATCATCATCATCATCATCAGCAGCATCAGCTCCAGCAACATCATCATCAGCAGTATCAGCATCAGCATCACCATCATCAACATCATCATCAGCAGCATCAGCAGCAGCCTCATCATCAGCAGCAGCAGCGTCATCATCGTCATCGTGGTCGTCGTCATCATCGACGTCATCGTCATGGACGTCGTCGCCGCCACCGCCATTATCATCATTCTCAGCACCATCATTATCCCTCTCCCTCCCGCTCTCCATCTTCCCATACAACTCCTTCTTAACCTCCAATCCCTGCCTCTGCTCCTTCTCCTCTCCCCCTTGTTCCTCCGATCCCCTTTTCCTTGTTCCTTCCCTCCACCTTGCCCTCTCGTTTCCACCCTCCCTTGCCCGCGTACAAATACAACATCGCGTTCGTCAACCTCCATCCGCCCTCTCCTCGGCGAGGACCATCATAGGTCTCAGACACTCTGGCGGGGACCATCATAGACCCCACCTCACCGGCAGCTGCTATCGTATGGGCTGCTGGGAGTCTCGCTTTCACTTTTGACAGTACGATGTCAATAGCCTACGAAGGGAGCCGAGGAGTCCATTTCGGCGCGCCGGCCAGCACACCAGCACACCAAGGGTGAAGGTCCGACCTGTGCCGCCGCGGCGTCACCTGCGCCACCGTGGCGTTACTCATGCGGCCGTTTCCGCTCGCCGCTACTTCACAGAGCTCTCCAAGGACGGGAATGAAAACCCCCTTGCCTCTACCCCCTGCCACCTCCGTCGGCCACCTTGGGCGCAGGTGTGGCTGGGCCTCTTTTCGCTCTCCTGTCGCTCCGTCTTCTTACACAGTGCCCCACCCTGTCTGGCGGAAGCCAGTAATAGGTCGGCGGTCGTAATGCGGGCCAAAGGGTGACGGTCGTAATGCGCGCGACCATTATCGCACCATTAACCTGATTGGGCACATGGGGAAAGTCTATATGAACGTCACTGCCATGCCCGCCCTACGTGCCCTAGCACCCAAAATCTCGGCCACCCAGTTTGGAGCACTACAGGGACGGGCTACACGGGACGCCGTTGCACTGGTGGGGGAAGTCCTTCGACGATATCGTATTTGCCATTTACGTTCCAGATCTGCGGGCCGGGAGACGCCAGGTATATTGGTGGCTGCTTTGATTGATCTCGAGAAAGCCTTTGATCTAGTCGACCGGGCCGACATCTGGGCAGCGTTGCGCCGTCTTGCCCTTTCCCAGGATGTTTTGTTGACAGTAGAGGAGCTACACGACGGCACGTGCTACATAGCCAGGGACGTCAGAACTAACCGGCCTGCACGCAAGCTTCTAGTCCCTCGCGGTGTCCGTCAGGGGTCCGTCGAGGGCCCCGCGCTCTTCATCGCCGTATACGACATGCTTACAGGGGGGTTAGCGCAACACCGACGGGAATCTGAGTTCGCTTGCGTCGATGTCGTCTTCGACCCTTCCCTCCGGAAGCTGCGGCATATCGATGTATTGTCTCCTGGCGATTATGATCACATTGATCTCACACATGTTAAGTTCGTCGACGATTTGTTAGCTTTCACGATCGTGCCGGACTTCAGCAAGGTAAGTGGGTTTCTGGATTTTCTTCGAAACGAAATTTCGGCAGGTAACATGAAGGTCAACGGGGACAAAACGGAGCTTTTGCTGGTTTTCTCTGGGAAGGACAGTAAGCAGCGGCAGAAAAACATCAAGGCTAAGTCCACCGGAGTGACCATGTCGTCTTCTTCGGGGCCTGTGCACATACATGCTTCCGCATCTGTTCGGTACTTGGGTGTTCGTCTTCGTGCTGACGGTAGTTACTCAGAAGAGGTACGCCACCGAGTGCAGGCAGCCACGGCGGCATATGCACGCCTCCAAACCCGAGCGTTCAAGGGGCATTTCAGCCGACATCTCCGGATACGCCTGTGGACCTCCTTGGTGCGATCAACTGCGTTGTATGCTCTCGAGGTTGCACCTTTGTCTGCTGGCGATTTGAAAAAGCTGGAAAGATGGCAAAACCGGTGTTTGCGTTCACTTTTGAAGTCGCCTTCGCATGTGTACAAAAAGTCAAATAGCGAGATTCGCCAACAGGCTAAGATGCCCACGGTTGTTTCTACTCTGCTGGAGCGTCGCCTCCGATGGTGGCAACATGTCCTTCGC